ACCCCTTTACTCCCCCCCCCCCCCACCAAAATTGTAAAGTTCGTTTTTGGGCATAACGTCCTGTACATCTCATTGTTGCATATTGTACACACTTTTATATGCTACAAATGCAGAGATGAGTAGTTTTGAGAAGTATACTTGAACCACAAATCTTAAAATGCTACCAGGATCTTGAAGAAAACATTTGTAGCATCTGATCTCAGATAAATACATTTTATTTTTGAGTCTTAAGCTAGGTCTCAATATTCCTTTTCCCACTTTCATTAAGATGATCCCTGTGAAACGCCAAAGTTGATTTTAGAAGGTTATTTCATTAGTCCTCACATATCTTAACATATCTAGCTGTAAGGTTTTATTATATCATGGAGATTCTTCTCATTATATTCAAGGGATGGAATTTCTCGCTCCTCATGATAGTGGAAGGCATGAGAGAGCAGATCCACAAGTCAGTTTTCTGGCCATAATAAATATTTTTGTGAAATGTCCCTAGGACAACATATGCTTATGCTTTGTACCAAGCATAAGCAAGATTTCTTCTAAAATGAATATTTCAATTGGACACACACTTTTATTTTGTCACTTGGGGGTGTGTCATTTTTCTTTGAGTAGCAGCTTTAAAGATTAAATGTGTCAGGAAGAAATGTAAAAACTCACATTTTTATCTTTTGGGTATGCAGGCACTAAAGCATGAAACCTCATTATTCTTTGATTAAGATGGCACAGAGAAATAACTGTGTCAAATATTGACTGCTAACAAAACAAAACAGCAGCAACAACAACAACAACAAAAACCCACCACAGCTGGGGCAGGGATGTGGGGGGCGTTGGTGGCTGAGGCCTGTAATCCTAGCTACTCAGGAGGCTGAGATCTGAGGATCACAGTTCAAAGACAGCCCGGGCAGGAAAATCCATGAGACTCTTATCTCCAATAAAGCACTAGAAAACCAGAAGTGGCTCTGAGGCTCAAGTGATAGAGAGCTCACCTTGAGCTGAAGAGTGCAGGGACAGCGCCCAAACCCAGAGTTCAAGCCCCACAACCTACCAAAAATAAAATAAAGTTTAATTAAATTAAAAACCACCAAACAAACAGAAACTTTCAGCTGGGCACCAGTGGCTAGGATTACAATAACCTGTAATCCTAGCTACTCAGGAAGCTAAGATCTGAGGGTTGCAGTTTGAATCCAGTTTGAATCCAACCTGCTGGAAAGTCTATAACACTCTTATCTCCAATTAATCACAGGAAAAAACAAACAAACAAACCGGAACTAGTTCTGTGGCTTAGGTGGTGGAGTGCTAACCTGTATCCAAAGGAGTTCAGGGACAGTGCCCAGGCCCAGAGTTCAAAATTTTTTAAAAGTCAGCAAAGAATGAAAAATAAAAATAAATGTTTCATACTTACCTTGAAATTTTTAGCTATTTCATTTTATTCATTGTATTTATTTGCATGTGAACTTCTTTTTTTTTTTTTTTTGCTTATGTGGTGCTGAAGAATCGAACCCAGGGCCTCATGCATGCAAGGCAAGCGCTCTACCACTGAGCCACCTTCCCAGCCCTTGCATGTGAACTTCTATCATCCTAAATTCTAGAATAGTTGGACACTTCCCAAGCCACTCTTACAGCTCGGACAAAGACATATGGTATGTGGTCTTACGAAGACAAAATAAAGAGCGGAACCATCAAGAGTAAAACATATTTGCGGCGCAGGTCCTGATGGAGGACGAAGAAACGGGTATTATGTTCATATTCAAATGATAAGGGAACTGAAATGCATAATGTTTGAAAAATGCTCCAGTAATATTACACAATTTTTAAATGACAAAAGTTGTATTTCACTATAGTGCTGAATGAATAGGTTTCTCACTCTTTTCAAGTGCTGTATGTATGCATTTTCATTTTCACTCCCACTTAAACTCGTATATCCACAGATAGCTTTCACAAGCCTTTTTGCAATGCCAAACATGTTCCTTAACAATCTTTTTTTTTCTTTTCATACATTAGCAGGGAAGATTGATGTTTCTAAGACATAACAAAAGGTCATTTTGAGACATAACTCAGTTGAAGAAAAGAATACAGATTGGGTTAGTACATTTCAAAATATTGGAAAACAAGATTATGGATAGGACGATGCATATTGGTCAGCTGGTGTTTGCCTAACATGCTCAAACTGTAGGTTAAGCCTCAACAACAACAACAACAAGAAAAGGGATAAAAAAGTAAAGGAAACAATGTATAAATGACCTTCTGGGAAAACAGATGTAGGTGGTAACAGGAGTACATTCTCATAGGCCAACTTCAGTTTTTGCCTCCTTTCGACTTGAAATGATCATTTTCCACTCTGTTGATCTATCTGAAGCATTTGCTTTCACATTTTTGGCAATAGAGAGAGGCATTTTCAATGGTGGCACTTACTGATTTTACAGAAATTGGAGGTCATTCATCTATGATATCCTAAGGTACTTGGTTTGCATCAATTTGAGGAAGGTGTTCAATAGAACAAGACTGAAGTTAGTTAAGTAAGAAATGAGAATATCTTCTTGTTTCAAGGGTTTTGGTTGTTCTAATTCAAAAGCATATCCTCATTGACTGATTTTTTACTATTAATTATAATTATTTATGGATTTGTCTACTGTTGATATTTTTATTATCAAGGAAAATAGTAGTAATATCTTATTATGATTTTCATCTAATTAAATGAATAGAGAATTAGCTGTAGGTTTAGGATGTGTGTGTGTGCATATGTGTGTGTGTGTGTGTGTGTGTGTGTGTTTATGATAAATTATTTTTTACAAGGTTTTCTGCACATAGTATGTAGTATACAGAAGACAAGATATGTGGAAATTATATCCTGGTCATGTATTTCATTTAGGAATGTGATGTAAAGTGTTTGAAACCCATTTAATTTGTGAAAGGGAAACAGTAAATACATCTAAACAGTGATTTTTAGAAATGTATCTTTTCTTTCAAACTGTGTGTGACAAGTGGGTAATAATTACTTCTTTCACCTTTCTCTTTCTTCTTCATAATTCTCTAAAGTTTGAAGTGGTACACCTTTTATAGTGAATATTTAAAATTATATATGGTGATAAAAATATATGATACTCTATCTAAAATAACATTAAGTATAATATATGAATATGTTTTAATACAATGTAATATTAACAGAAGAGTATACTTGAAATCCCTGAAAAGTGATCCAACCTGATTGAAAATGTTAACAAACATGTTAAATAACAACAACAAAACTCAATATTAGGTGAGAGGTTGGTCAAAAATAGATTCACACTTGAACTTTATATTGGAAAATAGAATAATATTGGGAACTACTTCTTCAAGAAGAGGTGTATTATATAGCTAAAAACATGATGACCTTGTGAGTATAGATGTACCTCTACTCATGCTTTATATTCTTGTTAGAAATATATACACTTTACCTGTGTGGTAAAGGATCAGACTTTGTGAGCTTGATCATTGTGAGTCTGTGTCCTGAGAAATAGTTGTCTCTCTGACTGATAATGAATTCAGGTTCTCAGTATTTCAAGGCTGAGCGTCACAGTGCTTAAGAGACTGCTTGTAAGAGCACAGGAAAGACCAAAATTGAGGAAATCTTAAAAAATATCCAATGGGCCAGGCATCAGTGGCTCATGCTAGCCAGGAGGCTGAGATTTGAGGATCATGGTTCAAATCAGCCTGGGCAGGAAAGTCTGTGAGACTTTTATTCTCCAGTTAACCACCAGAAAACTGGAAAGGGCTCTGTGGGTCAAGTGTTAGAGTGCTAGCCTTGAGCTGAAGAGCTCAGGGACAGCATCCAGGCCCAGAGTTCCAGTCCCATGACTGACCAAAAAAAAAAAAAGTATCCAATGGAATAATAAGAAATATAATTAGAATTAATGAAATTCTAGACCTCCTCAGTGATTACTGGGAATGACTGTGGTAAACAGTAAAACACAACCAAGTATATCCAGTGGGTAGGGAAAAAAAGTCAAAAATTGTGAAGACTCTTTGTGGTATGTCTTTCTTAAACAAATAACACACAAAATCCATGTGTGATACAATGGCTATTCAAATTATTCAATTATTCAAATTATTTCTTCAAGTCATTGAAGTTAAATGTTGGAAAATATTAATTTATAATGATACAAAATGAGTAAAACATTTTGGTCATTCACAATGTTCATAAAATTTATCTGGTAGAGACACGCATAAGGAATAGGGATTTCCTAAGAATCTGGGAAATCAACCAAATTTTCACAAGGTATTAAAAGCATTGTGAAATTTGAAAATAACTTGGAGTTCACAAAAGAGATAAAGCAAAAATGGACAGATTACTTGGTAGAAGAATCTGGCTGCAACATCTGTTATCCGCTCAGGAGTTGGTCCTGGTCTAAAAGACCTGGCTGGTGCTATTGCCCTCTGTGATTTGACCAGTTTGTGTGAATCCTTCTTGAGTTGACCTCTCAATCAAACAGAACAACTTTCCCTAATTAAGGCTAACTGTGCTTTGACCTAATTGTCTTAATTTTTCAGATTATGTGATCCTATGTTTAAAATTCCTTCATTGTGGGTAGAATAATTTATTCAAGAATTGCACATTGAATCACAGAATATCATAAATAGAAAATGTATTTAAAAAACTTAGTTACACATTGAAATTTATGATAATAACTTACAAAAACAAAAATATTCCATGCCTATTTCCATTATTCCTATATTACAAAATCTATGCTGATTGATATTCTATTTGGTCTTCATTTAAAAATGGCTATGTGATCAGCAAAATTGTTTTATAAATTGAATAATTAGGTATCATCTATCAGTAATGGGTAAATTCTGGAGATAGAGTGGGTCAGACTTCTAAAAATGTTAATAATGATAAGGAGTATTAAAACTATATGTTATTGTTGTCAGGTTTATAATAGACATATAATCTACATATATTTTATTTACAAAATTGATATCATAACGTTGGTGTATTAGAAGGAAATTTCTTCTCTCCATTTCTCTTTAATATGGAGTGATTCACAAATTTGTTTGTTATCCTTGTGCAAGGGCCATGGTAATCTTTTCTGTATTGTTCCAATCTTAGTATATGTGCTACCAAAACAAGTACTCTTCTTTCATATTTTTTTCTTAAGTAAATATAAGATATATGTCATAATATCTGTGAAAGGTATGTTTTCAAACGATGTACGCCAAACATCTTCAGGTGTTCGGCTAATTGAAAAAGATCATGAGGATTTAAATTTACAAGTACACATATTTATGAGTAATCCCTTCCTGTCCCCAAGAAATTAAAAAGTTTAAAAAATGGAGAAGAGTATAGTATTTATTTATTAAAATAAAGGTTAATGTGTATCCATTGTTTATTGTGTCTAGAAAATTGGGGCTGGGAAGTTGGCTCAGTGGTAGAGAGTTTGCCTTGCATGCCTGAGGCCCTGGGTTTGATTCCTCAGCACCACATAAACAAAAAGAAAAAAGCAGGGAGTGGTGCTGTGGCTCAAGTGGTAGAGCGCTAGCCTTGAGCTGAAGAGCTGAGGGACAGCGCCCAGGCCCAGAGTTCAGGCCCCACGACCAGACCCCCCCCCCCCCAAAAAAAAAGAAAAATTTTGAGGACCTAGTATCTACACACAAATGTAGAATCTCCTTTTCACAGAGAAGATAATAAAGGTTTAGATAGTTGAACTTCTTGTGTAGAATGTGGTTAGAAACCAGTACAGGTCCTGTGAACTCAGGCCATCCCGGTCCAGATCTAAAGTTATATATTAGTTTTATCTCTTACTTTCGCTCTTATTCAGTATTTTTAGGAAGAAGAGCATCATTAGCACATGTAGCTATTTCTTACCATTTTTCAACTGCAAGATGTCTGTGTTGAAAGTACAAATACAACAGTACTAAAGTGACAGCCATAGACAGAACTTTGGAAATCATAAAATGTGTTACTATGTATGTCCACTAAAAAGATCTTGGGACTGGTTCAGTGTGAATATTAGCCTACCTAGTCTTTTTGCTATGTAGAAGCACTGTATTGTATACACATTCATGAGCAATAATTCTGAAAATGTTATAGGTTAGCAAATCCTTTAAGTATGGTATGAGTGCTAGTTGTTTATATGACATCACATTGTGATATTCTATTCACCAGTCCTGTTCCCTGCATGTCCAAATATGGTGACTGCATTTATTTTGTGGTAAGACAATGAGTAAATAACACTTCTTGGTATGAATTATACTTAAATACATACTACAAGAAAGCAGTACTATTTATTTTTGTAAAGCAGCTGAGCTTTTATTGGGTATCATTCAGATAATTGCAAAGCATAAGACACAAAATTCACTTGCCCAGGCTGAGTGCCAGTTGGGGACAAGGCTGGAGGACAGAGCTTACACGTTGAGGGCCGAAGGGTACAAAGAACAAGGTGACAAGGAGGTGTCCAGCAGCTGGGTCCCATGTGGGGTGGCTGGGAACCCTCCCCACCCCCGTCCTCCCTCTCTGAGGACACAGAAGTGGGCCATGTCTAATCTTCGAAGCAGAGGCGGCGGCAGGTGCTGCTACGCTGGCGGCGGCAGGAGGCGTGGCGTCTGGGGGGCTGAGGGTCCTGGAGGGGGGAAGGAGGCAGGGGCTGGAGTTCTGAGCTGGAGGAGGGCCAAGGTGTCCAAATGCTGAAGCTGGAATCCCATTCTATTACAAGGGCCAGGCAGAGGGGAGGCCCTCGAGATGGACCCTGCAAGGCCGGCCTGGGGACTGAGCGGGGTGGGGAGTGGAAGCCACCAGCAGAGGTTGGGGAGCCCCACGGTTCAGGGGCCGCAGTAGACACGTGGGCTTCCTTGAAGGACTGCCCCACGGGGGCAGCGTTGTCCTGGGGCGCTTGCTTCTTCAGCGTGTGCTGGCTCATGGATGAGAACCTGCTTTGGAGTCTGGAGACCGTGCGCTGTGCTCGCAGGCCGATGCCACTCGGGTCCGCACAGGCTTGTGGTGCTTGTGGGTGCTCAGGTAGCGAGACAGGCTCGGGAAGGGTCCTGTCGACCATGTTCCTGGAAGGTGAGAGAGGATACCACTGCTGGAATGCTCCCTAAAGATGGATGCTCTCGGGGGTGCCCATTGACTCCCGGCTCCTGCTGTCCCGCGATCCTGGTATGACCACCGTGCCTGCTGCGCCCGCTGTACCGTGCAATGCTGGATCAGTCCTGGATTCCACTTGGCAGCGACCCAGTCTCCTGATGAGTGAGGAAGAGAGTGCCAATGGGTTGTCTGGGCCTCCATTTATACCAGCCAGACAGTAGGGTGTGGCTAAATCCCATCAGGGCAAGGTGGGCCAGAGGTTGAGATACTGGGGTGGGGTGTGGAAATCACTTGGGCCAGATTAGGGAGGGTCCAGGCAGGCAGATTGGCTTAAACCAGTCTGAACCACAGGGGCCCTTGCCATGTTCGGGAAGGGGCTGCTGGCAGGCAAAGGTGCGGGGGTGGGGGGTTGGGGGGGGAAAGAGGGGGAGAGCAGTTCGGAGTTAGTCCACAGGGCTCAGGCAATACCCTTCATGGTCTGGACAACGGTGGCAGGATGTCTCCCCATGACACACCCTAGCACACATGTGCTCTTGGGGAAAGAAGCTGAAGCCAGAGTGCCAGGGAAACTCATGCTTATTGTAGCCAAACACTGGGGTCAACCAGGGAACCAGGGTGATATATAAGGATCTAGCTCTAGGTAAGCATTCTAATACTAAAGTGAAGAGGAGTGGAGAGAGCGCAAATCTTTATCTTGTTCCTGAATTTAGAGGAAATGGCTTTAGCTTTTTGCCATTAAATATGAGGATAGCTGTAGGTTTGTCATGCACAGCTTTTATATAGAGAAGAATGTCCCATGGATTCCTAGTTTCTCCAGAGCTTTCATCATAAAGTGGTGTTGAATCTTGTCAAATGCTTTTTCTTTGTCTATGGATATGATCACGTGGTTCTTATCCTTGATCTTGTTGCTGTAATGAATTACATTAATTGAGTTACATTTATTGAACCAGCTTTGTATCCCTGAAATGATTCCTGTCTGATCATATTGTATGAATTTTTTGATGAACTGTTGAAGTCCATTGGCCAGAATTTTGTTGAGAAGATTTGCAACGATGTTCTTCAAAGAAATGGGTCTATCATTCTTTTTTTAGATGAGTTCCTATATGGTTTTGAGATAAGGGTTATGCTAGTTTCACAGAAAGAGTTTGGGAGTGAACTTTCACTTTAAATTTCATTGAAGAGTTGGACCAATATTGATCTGAGTTCTGCTTTGAAGACCTTGTAGAACTCAGCTGTGAATCAATCTGGTCCTGGGCTTTTCTTAGATGGGAGGTTTCTTATTGCTGTTCCTATTTCGATGCTTGATATGGGTCTGTTTAGTTCATTTAAATCTTCTTGGTTTAGTTTGGGCATATTAGTATTCTTCTATTTCTTCCAGATTCTCAAATTTGTTAGCATAAAGGTTTGAAAAATAGTCCCTTATAATGTTCTGAATCTTGTTTGTTTCTGAGGTGATGTTTCCATTCTCGTCTCTGAGTTTGTTTATTTTGGTGTGTTCTCTTCTTTTTCTGGTAAGAGTTGGTAAGGGTCTGTTGATTTTGTTAATTTTTCGGAAGAACCAATTCTTTGTTTTGTTGATTCTTTCTATGTCTTTTTTTTCTTTTTGAATTGTAATTCATTTAATTTTAATTATTTTTTCTGTCTACTGGATTGGCATTTGGCTTGTTATTTTGCAAAGAGTTTCAGGTACATCATTATTGGTTTCGGATAAATGGTTTGTTTTGGATATCTACACTTTGTTGACATCAAAACTCAGAGCTATACATTTTCCTCTGAGTACTGCCTTTCCTGTGTCCCAGTAGGCAGGTAATTTATATGTTCTTTTTTGTTAAATATCATGAATATTTGAATTTCCTTTCTAATCTTTTCCATGACTCACTGGTGTTTCAACAGTGTGTTGTTACAGGATTTTCTTTGGTGGTTTTTGGTGTTGAATTCTAATTTTATTCCCTTGTGGTCTGGGAGAATGCAGGACATAATTTCAATGTTCCTTTATTTGTACAAGTTTATTTTGTGACCTAAAATGTGGTCTGTTTTGGAGGATGTTCCATGTGCTGCTGGGAAGACCGTGTATTGTTGCTACTAAATGAAATATTCTGTAGATGTGCATTAAGTTTAGTTGTTTTATGCAGTTGTTTAGATCTGAGGTTTCTCTTTTGAGTTTCCACCGGGTTGATCTATCTATTGTGGAGAGAGGTTTGTTAAAGTCACCAACAATCAATGTCTTTGGATCTATGTGTGATTTTAGTGAATGTAGTCTTGGATAAGTTTGGGTGCTTTGATATTTGATGAATAGATATTTAGAATTGTGAGATCATTGTTTTGATTGAGATAAACCAAACTCAAAAAGTCTAATACCATGTTTTCTGGCTCACTTGTAGGGTATAGACCTAAAATGATGCTGATGACGATGATGATGGACAAGATGGGGAGTCACTTAGGATAGATCCAAGGGTAAAGTGTATGAGGAGCTTCAGTGAAACTCATTGACTCTTGTCTGGAAAAGAAAGGAGGATCGAGAGGAGACATGGAGCATGGTGCAGGCACAAATTCTTCAAAGCATATGTACTAAAGCATCAGTGAAGCCCCTTGTGCTGTAAATGACTTAAATGTTGTGTCACCAAGGGGAGATGCAGTGGCTCGAGGTCTAGAGCTTAGAGGATCCCACTCCTTGGGGAAGAACTGACTTAGTGAACACAATGGCCCCGCTCCCTCTGTTACACTAGGCTTTTGTGTGCCTCTGAAAACATGAAGTGTTCATGAGCCTCATTACTCAGTTGGGTACTAGTGGCTCTTGTCTGTAGTTTTCCTAAAGCAGTGGTTTTTAAAATTTGCTTGTCTTATTATTTTTCAAATCTATATTTTCAAGTATCTATCTACATAGATATTTACTTATATGAAGACAATATTTGCCGCCATTGAGAAAATGCCTCAGGTGTGGTATTGAATAAACTGTATTGTGTACTTGAGAGACACAAGAGTTGAAGAATATTCTTCTAATCTATTATTTATTATCTAGTAGGCTTGAACAGTTATCTTTCCAAGCATCA